GTAGCGTTTAATCTTTAATCTCACTTTGGCCGGCTGGCTAGCTGGCTGACTGGCAGCAAATGCGAGCCTGTAGAAGAACGTTTGTAGAAAGACGCGGCGGAGTGTACATGTATTTACCGGGACCGGTGTAATTAACAAATTAACAATTTTAGGGATTGGGCTACATCGGGCTACATTCTGTGGGGTCGGCGACATCTGGGCGCCATCCCCCAGCGTGTTAGACTACCGTGGTGATTTTTCGGTTTTTTCCTATCCTCTTCTATACCTATACAGTTTTGGTCCGATTTTTTTTAAATTGATGTAGTGGGAAGTCGCAAGGCGCGCGTCTTCGAAAGGTAATCGACTGCGGGCGCCGCTGCGAATTTTGTCACGCGGTTTAAAGTTTCTTCAAGCTCAAATCGATGTCTCTCTTTCTCGTGTCGCTAATGGAAGCTAGAGCTATTAGAAGTGCCCCAAAAATTGAGTACTATTTTATGGGGGGTTTTTAGCATAATCCACTAAAATGCAAGTTGCGGGTGAACGAGACGTCGGAAGAGGGTACCGGCGAAGGGAATGTGATAGCCCTCAACAAGGTTTTACTGATGGTGAAGTCAAAATTTTAAACGCGAATAGCGGTTGAACAATGTCTTCTTTTCTTCCAACGCCACTTATATATCTATGAAACTACATCTCAATCTTAATCTGATTTATAACATTGACAGATACCAATGATATCACTGACATTGGACATGGTTCGTTGTTTGACATGGTGCTTAAACTTATACTTAGTCCAAGGATAAAATTAGGACAACCTAGAAATTACATATAAATTCCTTCGAACACAGAATTTAACCTATACCTCCAATTAATAAGAGGGTTAATTAGTAAATAATAATAAAACGGCAACGGTTTAGAAATATATTGGTACAAATACTCCAAATAAAGGGAATAGAAATCCTAAACGCACAAAGTATTCTCCAAAATTATAGAAATAGTGTTCAGTCTAGACACAAACCACTTCGAGAAATACGCAACATCCGGTTAATCGCCAGAACGTAATAAGATTTAAAAACTTCACAATTAAACAGACATTGAATTTATTAATACCGCAACGCTTAACGTGTCGACCAACAAAGGTGTTTGCAAGGAAAAGGAAACAAAAGATAATCTAACATACGTATTTCAATTCACCGTATGTACGAATAACAATTCGATATGATATAATATAATATAATATAATGATATAATTGAAAACTACAGTGACCCTCAAACAAATTAGAACCTAAATGTGTGTGAGAAAATCAGTGTATCTTGACACGTGCTTTTGTAGGAAATTTAGGCTTCCACAATTTATCTTCCATTACTATCATATTTATTTCGGTTTGCCATGCTTTTTGAAATAAATGCGCACTTACGTGATTTTCATAAAAAAATTCCACAAGGGTCCACTCCCTACCTACCTCCCACCCTCTTCAATAAATTCCTAATTCTATCCCCTCATCTGCCGGCTAAAGAAAAACAATCGCAAACGAGAGACTTTTACTGACTCGCGCTCTCCACAAAAATTTCACGACCCGATCTTTATCACACCATTTATGAGACACACGCCGCCCCAACTTTTTACTTTCATGTGTCCAACCGAAATGCACTGTTGCACAATATGATTCAATTGCTATGGTTAGGTTAGGTACAATTTATTATTTTAGCACAATAATTGTTTCCATGGTAATTTCTACCAGCTTGGCTAAACCTATTGCTTATAATCGTGTATTACCTCGACTATGACATGATTTGTTTCATCCATGTCCAGTTTGGAAATGTATTGTTTCAGTAATCCAATTTCAGGAAGCACTTTTTTTTTTCTCCAATAAGCCTTAATTTAGAACTTGTCAGTCTTTTTGCAAACAAACCTGTAACTTTCAGATTCTGCCTTTACGGAAAGGATACTCGGAATGCCAGCTGAAAATTACAAGGGCTACGTGGAAGCGGATGCAACGCAGAGAGCTAAAAATATACCATCCAAGTCTATGTTTGTAATCCATGGGCTTGCCGATATTACAACGCCGTTCGAACATGGGATATCTTTAGCGAGGGCTCTTACCGAAGCGGGTGTTCTTTTTAGATATAATGTAAGTGTCGAATCACTTCGAGAGCCCCATGTGATGAACTCACGTTTCAGAGCTACGCTGATGAAGGTCATGACCTAGTAGGTGTCATAAGACACGTCTATCAGTCCATGGAGGACTTTTTCCAGGAGTGCCTTAGTCTAGATACGGACGACCCCAAGGCTTCTCCTGATACCTGAAGTTTAGCAAGGCACGTGTTACATCACGTGACCGCCTTCGAAAAACTCCATAATCATAGCCACCACGCAACACGCCGTCCTGCGTGGGTGCAAGTGCGATAACATCCTCCAATTTAAAAATGTGATGTGACACGTGCATACGGTGCAAGTGAAATAATAATCGGCAGGGATCGATTTAATTCAATCAAACAAATCAATAATCAATTACTTATAGTGCAAAATAGTTGGACAAAACCGATAGTTGCTGTAGGACTACGAATTAATTCCTTTTGTTAATAAAAGACTTCGTTTTTACTTAATTAGTGGGTTAATGTACAGTGATATCGCCCGTTTAAAATTGTCTGAATGTGTTGACGACTTCAATTTTCACCTTCATCAAGTATTCAAAATTATTTAGTGCTTGAGGTTCTATAAATAATAATGTAATTACTAAGTCAATTACAGAATCAATTTTAATGCAAAGCATGAGTTAGCAAGACGGGGTAAATCAAAAACATCCAAACTTCCATAATTTTCAATAATCAAGCAAGGTTGTGACACGTGATCATAATACTCTATGTTTAAATAATGTAACTTTTGCTTAAGTGATAGATCCTGTGCTTACACAAGGTCAGCAAAGACAATCTGTATAATATTCAGTTGAAAGTTCGTAAATTTGTCTGCAAAATCAAAATTGTCACAATTCTTGATCAAATTTGCTCTATCAAAAAAAAACTAAAATACCCCCATGGACCCCATTTTTTGTTAAATCAATTAGTTTCCGAATTGGCCCGTACCCTTATGCATTTATTACTAGTTCATTAATACTTTTTTTTAATTCTATTAAAAAATAAGCAACATATCCAATTATGAACTTTCAACTCGCTTTTCAGCTGTACATTTAATATATACTTAAACCCAAATCTATTTGTTTAATTCTACCTAAACTTATAAAAATCTTGTTCATAAAATATATTAGACATTCTAAATTAAATTAATAATTTGGTGTACTTATTAGAATTGGACCTATAAAAATTTTATCTGGTTTAAGTAGTTGTTATTTTTATATAAATATGTGCAATACTGGTTTCATTAAAGAAAAAAAACAAATGTTGCCTAAATAAATAATTGTTGCAAATATTCATGTTATTTGTAAAAAAAATAATGTGCGAAACACCAATTTAACTATTAGTTTTTGTTAATAATAGGAAAGTATGGATACATGTTAAATGTTCTGTTTTGTATTACTGCGAAATGTTTACAATAAATTAATACAATTGATTTTCTTTCAATTCCCCCTTCCAACACGTATAGGACGGTCAACAAGTACTCAAGCTAAAAAGGGGGCCGCAGTGTCTAAAAGGTTGAGAACCACTGTCGTAGATGAACCCTTCTTAAAACACCCCTACTTTTTGAGAACAAAAAAAATTAATTTTCTCGGATTTTTTTTATTTCTGCAATCACTCCTTCAATTAAAAGCAAGCTGATTTTTTACGACAAACATTGTGCGCATATGCAGTAAATACTAACTTTTCTTATTGAAGATACCCCAACGTCGAGCGCAACGTTATCTTAAATATTAATACCACCACTTTTTTAATGTTGGAGGAGGGCCGAATTTTAAACGTGAATATCTCGAGAACCGGGCATCGGAAAAAAGTTAATTACCTTTTCACTTGTTGTGTTCGGTAAATATAATTTGTTTCTTTTCGAGTTACCTACGTGATTTGATTCTCTTCTACCTGCGATTAAGGTTCCGATCTCGATTCCAATTCCGATACACCAAATTTAAAAACTTCGGTTCCGATATAACCACTTTGATTACATCCCTATTGCAAACACAAATAAGTTTGGTTACTGTATCGCACCATGAAGACCAGTATTTTGTACCATATGTATAGGGTGCAACGACTCCATGTGACAGTAAGTGTGTGAAGTGATACATTCATTTACTGTGATGCTCATTACTCTTGCATAATTATTCTGCATATTGCACCTCATTTATGTTCATGAAAATTGAAAATAACCGAAAATCTCCTAACCTGAAATTCAAAACAAAAAAGTTAACCTCAAACAGAATTAGGCGCGTTCAACTATTCAGATAAAGTACACACATAAAAATGAAACGTTGTTGAAATCTATTCATTTCTCGTAATCAAAACTTACAAGTGCATAAATCAATTTTAGCGCAACTAAACGATACAATTGCGGTTTGGATGGCATAAACCAAGGACGTTAAAAATACCAACGTCCTTGGAATAAGCTCAGATAAACATAGTTGCGGAACGCACCCTTTTGCCTGGCCGCTTTTCAGATGTATTTAAACACCTGTCACTATCGAAGTACCATTGTTAATTCTTGTTGTCAAGTGTTGGGGTAAGTGCTAAATTATGTTTTTGTTTAAATGCGGAAAAAAATCATCGTATCACTATCACTTACGTCTTTGATCTTTCTATGCCTACACCACCAATTTATGTAAACGAATGTTGCTTCAAAAGTACTCAATTCAATGAACAAAGGCCGATTCTCACTTTCGTGCAAAGAACCGGCACGGCACATACTCGGCACGGGCAAAGTTTTTTGAGTTCAATTCACACTGCGACACGCTTGCCGCAGGTAAGCAGTTTCTACGTGAGTTTCAACTGTAAAAATGTTCGAAACTTTCACGTTAATTAAAATTGGTCTAATATTAGATGATGAAGAACAAGAAAGTACATATTGCAGAAAAAGAAAAGTACGTTTTTGTGTACATAAAATGCATAAGAAGTATCTTTTATGACCGAAATCATTTTCTTGGACACATTCAATCAGCATCTCATCTTGTTCCGCTGAAAAAGTGTTCCTTTGCTGACCCTTCAACGTTTCTTGTACTATGAAAACTGAACGAAAGTCGGCCACCTGCACAGATTGTATTCACACTTGTCGGAACGTGCACGGTACATGCCCGGCAAATATTGTTTCGGAAGAACGCTGCGTGCAAAGGCCGTAGCTTGCCGAGTCGTTGCTCGCATAGTGTGAATTACACCCCAAAAAATTCATAAGATTCAATAATATAGATATTTTGCCGAGTCGGTGCCTTGCCTGTGCCGAGTACGTGCCTTGCACGAAAGTGAGAATCGACCTCAAAGTTCAAAAACAGTATTTGGGTACAATCTAGAATTCATACGAATCCGGTTTTTAAATACATACCGTATGTCCCAGTACTCCCAGGTTGATATAAGTATAACGCATCATTGGCAATCTTTTCACGAAGGATCCACGCGGCCTTTGATATATGTATTGGAGGGTCCGTTAACTTAGCACCACCATTTCAAATTTCTGACTAAACCTAAAGACAGATACGCTAGAATCTCTATAGCTAGCGCCACTTTGAGTTCAGCCAGCGCCATTCTAGATTTTGCAGAAAAGCCCTTGACTTTCGGGGGGCTCCTATGTTAACGCTAGCACCACCATCATTTCCAATCACTTCCAAAAGCTAGCGCTGTGTTCGTCACAAATTTTAGAGCTAGCGTCACCCCCCCCCCCCCCCAATAGGGCGGGGGCAATTTTTCCTAGCATCACCATTTTGTCTTTTCGGGTAAAATTTTTTACGTTTGGATCCTTCGCGAAAAAAATACATTGCCGTTTCCCTATATGGTACTTTTCCACCTGGGACATTGTAATATACTGTATAAATATACAGTGAGTTTTTCTTGAAAGCGAACATAGCTATGTCACAGATATTTTACGTATATCTGTGGCTATGTCTTCTTTAAAAATACGCGTTTAGGCACGTCACTTAATATTTTTAGATTGGCACTAGTGCGCACTGAATTAAACTGAACTTGATTGGGCGATTTTTGAATTTAAAAGCAAACACAAGCGCCATTTCACATTCATTTGAAAAGCTCATTATAAATTAAGGACGGCTCGTCGGCTCGTGACTAACTTGGTTAGTGCCTTGGTGCGCACATGCGTGTAACGCTTGTTGTGTAAATGAGATTTTAAAATTTTCTTTACCAATAAAAATCTCACTACGCGAATGTTGAATTATCTAATGACCTATACATTCAAACTTGTATGGATGGAATAATGTTATTAGTTATGGTATAATAGTAGTAGGGGTTGCCATTTAAAATAACGGAATTACTATCTACTTCCGGTGTTTCCGGAAGTGCGGACATTTTGAAAATATTTTACATAGATTCAGAGTCTCAGAGTAACTCCTAAGTACAAATTTTCAAAAACCTACGTATTTTACTTTCCCAGAAACGTTTAACTAAAGCTCCCAAAAAAACACCCTGTATTGGGACAATGGTTGCCAATGATTTTAAGCTAAGCTTAAGTTAAGCTTAAATGTTTCGCTGCATATACGCCCATTACTGCATTGCCGAATTTTAGTTTTGGATATGACCGCGTTGATTGCGAAACGATTCATTCGTGTAATGAATTGTAGTTTTTTTAACAATTTCAAAGCTAAATAGTGTTGTAGTGTACTTAACCCCCCCCCCCCAGGTCCTACGCTAACTTCACACTACAAGAACACGGAAATAAAATCAACCCGGCAACGTTTAAAAAATGGCCACCCGAATGACTATTCCCTCTAAAACTAAACAAGATCCCGCTTACATTTAAAAAAGTGGCACGTGATAAAACATCTAAGGCAGGGCCCCCTTACGTTAGTTGAAGACAACGCTTTGACCTGAAGCACAGTAGGGAAGGAACGTTAAATAAAACACTGAAATTGTGAAAAGTTTGTTTAATAATGATCGTAATTATTATGATTGTGAAAACCCGGAAATTTAGTTGATGTACATTAATATAAACAAAACAAACAAAGCCAAAAGGTGTCGTACTCTCGCAAAAGTCACTGCCAAGGATAAAAAGAGTACGACGTAAGAAAAACCTTGCAGTTTGATTAAAACAGTCCACAAAGGTAATTAACAAAATATTTTGTAAAAGTTTTAAGCAGTAGTTAACAAAGATAGTAAATGCATATACACAATGTTGGTTACACTCAAGGTTAAAGCAAGTTTTTGGGGACAATGGGTCAGGTAGACGCAGGTACCAAGATTCTGAGAAAGGGTTAAAAGTACAGGATGTGACTCATCTTTGGTGCAATAAGTCCTTTTGTTGAAAGCAAGATGGAAAACTACATGGCCTTGTAGGCAAATTTGACTAAAAACAAAATATGTGGAAATTATTGAATCGCCACTCATTTAACGCACATAGATTCTAAACTGAAGAGCTTTGATTAGCGTAATCTCGCTCCTGCAAGATGGGTAGTCCGCCCCTGGTTTCGGGGTTTCGAACCTACAGTTGGATTTCGAAGACAGTGCACGGAATTAGGTGCCCTAACACATAATTATAGACTACAGTTTCTTTTTCCACCTTCCCGAGACTGCTTCATTCACGGAGAAAATTGTTAGTAACATACAACAGTACATACATTAAACGAATCGGTAATTTCCGCATATTAAAATAAAATGAAAACTTACATGAATGTAACTTCAGGGACAAGACCAAGTAGTCAACATCAATAAACATAAATTAAGCAAACATTACACCAAAAACGTAAACAATTACAAACAATAGCATAACGGTATCACACATATGATTGCATTGCGGTTAAACCAAGTAAATTTCAAAAACAAATATTCAAACACACAACAAATATAAAATGCGGCAAACAAAACACAAATACGATATAAAGAAATGCAAAAATTACTACCTGCATTAAATAACACCAAAATAACAACAAACATTTATGGAGCGAAACGTTCACTACCGCCATTCAAGACAAGATGCCCAACGTAACTCCCGTTCGCGCTTTCTTAGGTGGCGCAGGCAGCTTTTTTTCCCACCTAGAAATTGCATGGTTGCCAACTCTCAAAAATGTATGTATCGTCGTAAGCTGTATATACAGGGTGGAACCTTTCAGTGTTATATAAACAACGTTATTTCGGTCTAAACACCAAAAATAATGACGGGAGGCCCTGTATATGAGAATATTTCAATTTATTAAGTAAATCTGGGAGTTTTGCGAATAAACACAAAATTGGTATATTTTATTTGAAATTGTTTGACTCAGTGTCTATTTTTCCTTTTAGAATTGTTTGTAATTGCGTAATTTTTTTGTTTAAATTTTATCGCTTTTGTAAATTGTGTGTAAATTTGTTTACGCTAAATCTCGGGCAGTGAGTCCTATTCGTTTGTTGAAGACGCAGTACGTCGATTTCAAAATAAAGTGTGCAGAAGAAGTTGAGCAATCCT